GACTAATTGGGAAGTCATTGCCGGAAACCAGGATTTGAGATAGGACAGAGGTGTGGTAGAGAAAGGTGTCAAGATAACTACCAAATTTCAGGCTTGAGTCACCAGCAGTTTATCACTAGGATAGGGAATACAGGTTTGGGAAGATAATCATTTGAGTTTTGGGCATGCTACATTTGTGGTCCTGGATGATAGCTTGGTCGACAGATGATAGTGTAGAATATGGATAGAGGGAGGCTCAACTTGGCATTGACCTTATAGGCAGAGGGATATTCATCCAGATTGATTGGCAAGTACCTCTCTGGAAAATGGTTATCTCCTGTATACAAAGTCCAGGAGAATGGGCAGCTTTCCTCTCTTCTACTGTGTGGCTAGTGTCACCCCTCTACCCCAGCACTGCAATGGATGTGTAATTTAAAAGAAAAATAGCTTGTGGGAGTTAGTGGAGTGCCAGTCACTCTCAACCTTATGTTAAATAGAGTAATAAATAGCTGAGTTCATCTTAAATTTGGAGGAAGTGGGAGGAACTAGTTTTGGGATATGGGAGAAGCTGCAATTCCTGGATAGTGGCAACTAGACAGCCAGGGGTGCATGACACCACCCAAATTAGGGGGTTAGAATAAGGGAATGCCAACTGTCAGGAGGAATAAGTCTGGACAGGGAGGTGAGAGGGTCCCAATTATAGCACTTTGGAGTTTTGTCCCTAGAGAGTCCTGTTTACTGCATTGCTAATAATCCCCCACAGCTGGAGCATAACACTCGTGTACTAAGTACTTTTAATTTAAAGTAGATATGACCATATCTGTGAGTCCATTTTACAGATGAAAAATCTGAAGCTTGGACAGTTGAATAACTTGCTAAGTGGCATAGCCAGATCTTTCTGCCTACAAAGTCCACAATACTCTTTGTTCTGTATCATATTGGATCCTGAGAGGACAGAGTAAGAAAATTAATAGGATATGTGAAAGTGTTAAAGTAAGAAGAATGAGTAACATTATTAAAATGTGTTTGATAGATATAGGTCCTTGGAAAAGATGTCGCCATTACTTCTCATTGCAGTTCCTGTGTTCAAGCCTCTTCCTAGATCCTCAGATCTCTCACCAGCTTCCTAAGGATTGCATTTGAGATAAGGCAAATCTGAAAATAATAATTTTACTTCTTCGAGATATCAGTCACTGGTTATTAGCATTCCATCTAGTGGCTTTGCTTCTCAAATTTATCTACCATGGAACATATTGGCAGTGGGAACATGTTGTTGACAGTGCTATGTTATAGAGAATATAGAGAGTGAAGGTTTATCATTTTTAATGTCCTTAAATTTCATGATCTCACATCAATCCTACAAGATGACAGATTTCAGAGTTAAGGAAATGGAGGATCAGAGAGGTTAAGTGACTTGCTCAGACCTACACATCTAGTAAGAGTTGGTGCCAGTACTAGAAATAGAAGTCTTCTGACTTATTGGCAATATGCTTTCTGAGATATCACACAGGCAGGGTGTGGAGAGATTGAGAGAGAGATGAGGGGATGGGAGGGAGAGGATATATAATAGAGAAAAGGATTGCAAAGCAAAAGCTAATAAAAATCCAGGGAACAAGGAATCAACAACTTCTTTGCTTTCAAATACATCATTTTGTTTTTCATCCTTTTGTTTTGCCCACTGTTTTCAAAGATTTTTAGACTCTCAAGATTTCAGTGAAGAGCCACTTGAGGTAGCCACACAGGCTGTCACTAAAGGGTCCTGGAGATGGGGAGTTAATGGACCCCAGAAGTCTACTGCCGCTGCAGTCATGCACAGCATCAGAGCTACAATTTCCATGCTGGTAATGAGCTGAGCATGCCCCATGGTCTGAAACAGACCCACGGTAAGATGCTACTTGATGCACATAATAGCAACTGTGAACAGTATACCAGTGGGGCTGACTCTGAGCCTAGGATCCACTGTGGCACAAGTATTGCTAATGAGATTTAAATATTCCTCTTGAGGGTCACTGCAGATAGGGCACAGGACATGGGGAGAACTGTTGCCCCTTGGATGGCAGATCCTTTTACTAATTGGCTTTAGTGGGTGTCGGTCAATGTGCCTTACTTTTCAAAGAGCGATGTTGAATCTCTATCAAGTAATATGGCCAGGAGATCCTTCCAGTCTCTCCTGCAGCAGTTCAACAATTCTCAGGAAATATTTATTTCTGCTTATTAATAATGTTGACCAAGGATTAAGCATTCTTATTTCTGGGCTTTTTCTCTCCCTTGAGTTGTCTCTTTGGACAGGGAGCAGAGATGGCACCCAGGCATACCTACAAAACTTAATTGCTCCTTTCCCCTGGTTGTCTTGCCTGCCACTGCTATTGAAGCCAGTCTAATTAGTTTCTTCCAGAAATATCCGTCCAAATCTGTACTAGTCAAATCAAAATATCTTTATAATATAGCTTTCAAGGTACAGGGAGAGCATTGATCCTAATATCTGTTTCCCCTTGAATGTCACGATGGAAAAAAAAATCTGTTCCAGGCAAATATCCCCCCAAAAAGAGGATGTCAAAGTATTAAATGCATCAGTGATAGCAAAATAGTTAAAACCCTGCAGTTGCAGCGGACTCAGGGTCATTACTTTTGATGAATATTTTCCTTTTTTTAAGAGGCATAGCTAATATAAGTAAGTAGACCAAGGAGGATATTTAAAATATATCCATAGATTGCCTTTTGTTAAGATCTTTAACCCTGGAAAATCATGTCCATAATCGTAGCTCATTATCTTAATTAGATCTGTCCTACATTATCTCACAATTTATTCTCATTACTTCATAGGTGATCAGCCTTTTGAAAAGGATGTGAGCAGAATTTGCTGATTTGTATTGTGATAGTGTCTGTCTTCTCTTTCAAACTCTATTTAGATCTTTTGGGTATAATAATGGTGATGCTATATTTAATTAAAAATTACATTAGAAAGATATTAATATTCATTCTACTGAATGAACACAGGATTAACTCAAGAATTAAAATCTCTATAATGGCTAATGAGGTGGACTATGCTGGGATGCCCATAAAAACAGAGATGAATCATAAAAATGGCTAAAAGTCTGAAGCTTTTCGTCCTATTGTCATGCTGTTTGTATGGAAAGCAGGGCTCACTGCTCACAAGTCACTTGAACATATGCTTGCCCCCAAGAGAGTGATGGTACCTGATGTTCAAGTTGCAGCTTCTTAGGATCAAGATTGTGTTGTCAGGAAGTTGTACCTTCTCTCTTCCTCTAACACTCTCACTTGGGTTAAAAACATGAGGAATAGCTGTTTTAATACCTTGTCAGTTAACATGGGTTTGTATCTTTTGAGGTAGGAAATAGATACCACACTTTCAGTTTTCTGGTTTGTAATGCAGCTTGTAATATAGGAGAAAAAATACAATTGAAGAAGGCAGAATTTGGCTATTGATACAAAATAGGAAGGGAAAATTGCAAGATTAAAATTATTAGCAACTATGTGTGGGGCAGTTATCTCTAGATGAGACATCACTGGGCAAATGCTGACACCTTCTGGGGCAAGTTGGTTTAGAGAGAGAAACAGTCCCATGGCAGGGCAGATAATTAGGATTATGGAAGTTCACTGCCAGGAAACATGCTCATGGGCAGCTTGCTCATGGCCGAAGAGAGTTCAAAGTAGAGCAGGGCAGGGCCTAATGAGGAAACCATAGCTGAAAGACCAACGGGCTTGGTTGGCTATAGTTGATGAGTTTCTAGATAATCGTTTTGTAGCAAATGTGGACAAAATATGGAGTATGAAATCAAATTTTGTTCTGTCCTAAAAGTATCCTTGGAAGAGAGGTAAAGTGTGGTGGAAAGAACTCTAAGCTGAATCAAAGAAATTTGTAGTCCTCCTTCATTTATAAGCCGTTAATCAGATTGCTTAACCACTTTGGGCCTCAAATTCTCTATCTCTGAAATTAGAAGGTTGAAGTAGAGCATGATCACTAAGATCCTTCCAGCTCTAGAGTTCTAGGAAACTTATGGAGAAGGTAACCAAGTTTATCCCACACGAACAGTATTGCAATAAAAGTAAAAATACCAGGTATGGTAGATTGAACGTAACAAGGCCCCAGGCATTGCCCTCTTAGAATCTGCCTCCCATACAATTGACTATGCAGCTTTTCCCACGGAGGTGGAGTCTACATTTGAATCTGGGTGGCCTTGTTATTTGCTTTGGCCTATGGAATGGGATGCAAGTAATGGTGGTCCAGGTCCAAGTTTAGGCCTCCACAAGTCTTGCTCTTTTGCTGTTTCTCTGACCCCTGTCTCCACTGACAGGACAAGCCTGAATTAATTTGCTGGAGTAATGAGACATGTAGAAGAAAACTGTGTCATTTCAGTCAAGGCTACCTCATTCAGCAAACCTCAAGCTGGTCTGTTAGCTGATCACAGACACGTGAGTGAGCGCAGATGAGATAATCCAAGCCCAGCCTAGATTACCAGAGCTGCCCAATCTACCCAGACTTATGAGAAATAAGAAATGTTCCTTGTAATAAACCCATAAGTTTCAGGGGTTTTCATATGATAAAAGTTAACTGATATGTAAGGTCCACTTGTTCACCTAATAATTCAGTACCCAGTAAAATTCTCTCTCTCTCTCCCTGACTGTGACTATTTTTCAGGGTCCTTAGGAAATATTTCCTAAGTATTCATGAAAAGTCTTACTTGCCAAATAGCACCCACAGGGTCCTACTGCCACTTCTGCTGGGTGCTGTTGATTCAATTGGGCATGTTGATACCTTATTGGTGGCAGCTGTTGCTTCTACCTTTTTCTGCTTTGCACTAGGGAATCAACAACAAGTGCTTCAAGACGCCAAGGCTTTTCTTGAAAAGAGGGTAGTGAAATTGCAGAAATGCCTTGCTCCTCATTTTTTGCTATTCTCTGTTACACGGTTACTAAAGCTATGTCAATATGCCTAATGTCTTAAGGAAGTTTACATTAAATACATTTTAGGTTTTACTTATGGTTCTTTGTTTCTCCAGGACCCTGGGCCAGGGAAAGAAATGAACGAAGATGCCACATTATGCCCAGAACTACTTCTCTCATTCAATAATAAAGGCTTTGTTGTTGGGTCAACTTTTGTTATGCTCAACTCTTTCCTTCCTGAGGATGGGCTCTTTCTCAGGAGGCTCTTATACTCCCAATAAATGCACTGCTGTAAGTTTGCCATATCATTATGTAACACATACCTGGATGTGTTCGAACTCTGGCTGAGGGTGAAGCTATGATGTCCCATTGCAATTGTTTTGAAGTCTTCTTCCTATATCCAGAGAGAGGGGCACTAAGAGCCCAGAGATAGGTAGTTAAACATAACCTACATATCAGCTGCTCTTCATTGCAAAATGTCTGTGTTTGCACATAATACCTTAACATTTTCAGCTTCAGCTCACTTCAACCTAGACATTTATGGGATCTTTTCAAACATATCCTTCTCCATTTATTCACACCACAAAATTTAGTGATCAGCATAGACCCTGATAAAACTTTTGTAGGGAGAATGAGGATGGGGCTTTTATTGCACAATATAAATATTAATCTAACTTCAGCTATGCTGGGATAATAAATAAACCCTCAGATCCTAATGACTTTGTATAAATAATAAGTATTTCTCTCTCATGCAGAATCTGATGAAGCTCTATTTTGTAGCTATGCCATCTGGATCACATAGTCTCCAAGGTGAGTAGAGCAGAGGAAGACAAAGAGCAGGGCAAGATTGAGGTGGAATTTACATATCCTTTGCACTTACTTTCTGCTGGCCTCATCTGGTCGCATGATCCCACTCAGATAGGTGCATAGGGGCTTGGAAAATTAGAAAAACGTGAATATTTGGTAGGCACTTACAATCTCTGCCAGCATCTGCCCTTCTAATCAGCAAATTTTCAATTACTTTTTTCTTCACCCACATAAGACATCTTAATCCAGCCTCAGGGGAGACATCCTGATGTCCAATCTAGTCACTACATCAAGCTTAATGGGATTCATGGGCCTCTCTGTCATGTCTGCATGAGGCTTTTCTTGATCAGGTGACCTATGAACTGAAAGAAAGAATATATCGTTGTCCTCTACTGTCTATACCACCGCATATAGAGTGGTGGAAAGGAACAGAGTAACCATGGTATACATTCCTATTTGAAAGGGGATGATTAGAGACACACAACAATGATAACATCTCACTGGTCAGACATGGTGAAAGTTCCCTTATGCAGGGGATGGTAGTAAGTGTTCCTTAGTTAGGCCTTGGTTCTGGTCCTCGAGAGGCATTCTTTTATCCATTGTCCTCTATGGCTGAAAGCTGTGCCCTCCAAGATATTCTTTCTTTTCCGTTACTCTCTTCCACCACCTCTGAAGTGGGTGAGGGGGAATATGTCCTCCTTGGGGGCTGCACAGTTTTCTCAGTAAACTTCTTTCCCACGGAACATTGGCAGCTTAAGGGTTATAAGTCTCAAAATGTCAGTGGCTTTTTTTAGTCCAGGCTCATGATTTATTTAACAATGCAATTCCCTCAAACACACAGTAGGCTTCTGATCTATTTGCTTTAAATAACTTTCATGTGGTAGTAACCACACCTGAAGTTCTTTTCTAGGCATAATTCTAAAATCTGCTTTGTTTCGTTGCTTTCTCGCTTCTGTGCATTTCTCTCTCTTCTATATGGGGGCTGTGTTGAAGATGTCTGACTAATAGGTAGAACGTTCACACACTTAATCTGTTTATACACTTAATCTGATCCTCGTCCTAAGTCATTTCATCCAATGGGGACATTTCACTGTGATTTTGTGGCAGTCTTTTGAGATGCCAAGTCTTACTGTTTAAAGTCTAGAAATAGTCACTTTTCCAACTTGCAAACTTCAAAATTTCTGAACGATTTTTATCCCTTTCATTTCTGTTTGCAAGTCAGCCAGGGTTTTCCTGAGCTTATGTCATTATTGCAGTCCTCTGCCAAATACAGCCAATGTTCACTTTCAATATTGTTTCCCTAAGTCATTGGGCTCAGAAGCCGCACGGTCTGCCTCCCAAATTACCACAGGATTTTAATTTTTGCCAAATGATTTCCTACTGCTTAAAACGAATTGCCATTTTTTCCAGCCTCCAACATTGGATTTTTCACTGCCCTCTGCCTAATTGCTAAGTCATTGCTACACATTTTAGGTTTCTTTGTGATGGCCTCTTATCACTGATAAAAATTCTGAATTTGTTAGGATAGGCTAGAATATGCTGTGAAAACAAATTTCCCATTTCAATTCACTTGCTAAACAATGAAATTATCTTTTTTGTTCACACGAAATCTCCCGGTTCCTGTTTGATTTCACTTTGGTCTGTGGTTGTGAGTACTGGAGAAGTACAAATTGTGGGGCAAATGGAAAGGAAGTTCAAGATTACATTTTGCTTAGCAAACTTGGAGTATATGTTGGTATTATTGCTTAGGTATGGTATATTTATTTGTATGTTTACATAGCGTGACTGCCTAATGGCTTTAAAAAAATCTGTAGTGCATGGTTCACTGGTTCCCCTCCACAGAGAAGAACAATGAGTAAGAATAGAAATAGGAATATATTTTATCAGATGAACCAAGGTGAAAATTAGCAAAAAAATCTGTGACAGTACATATATAAAACAAAATTTCCCCTTAAGTTATAATCATGTTTATACTTTTTGCATATGTAACTAAATGAATGTGTACTTTCTTCTAGTGGCTTATTGGTGGAAAATAAACACAGATGTTTTTGTTTTATATTTTACAGCAATGCTTTCAGTAACCTGGAGAGGTACACATGGCTGGTATAACCATTATCTTCATTTAATGATGTGAAAACACCTACCACAGGTCCTGGCACATTGAGGGTCTTGAATAAATTCTGTCAGATGAGTAGACAAGTGCACAAAAGGTTGAAGGAGTGAATGAGGCAGGTTAAATGACCAGTTCTAGATTGGTTACTAAGTGACACAGCCTAACTGAGTTTTCTAATGTTCCACTGACCCTGCCTCCAAGCAGCTTCAGAATGCAGCTTACATTTCTGCTATAAATATTTTCTTTAGAGTTGTGCTGATGAATTGAAGTTTCATAACAAGAAGAAAGCAGATGGCTTTTGGGAGGGGCTCATACTTGCTCTTTTAACTGTGTTTCTGTTTTGCTTGTTTATGCAGAGTGTGCACAAAGGTTGCCAGAACCTTAATTTCAAACTGCATCATTTAATAAAATACAATAAGGAGAATTAAGAAGGAAGGCTGCAGGGGAACATCCTGCTTATTATCTCTGTAATGAGAGGACTATTTTTTCTCCCATCAGTTGCCAATGATGAGGTTTTTTGTTTCCTTTCGTGCGGGCACAATTGTGATATTCAATGAGAGGAGTGCGAAGTGCCACTTTACAGCCAAACATTCAATTCCTCCTAATTCACAAGGGAGAGAAGGATCAAGTTGTGCAGCTGGGAGGTGATGTTTCTTCCCAGCAGCTGTCATTGAGGAGACACGTGCAAACCATAGAAGTCATTTGTCACAAGAACTCCATCCAGAATTTGCTATGTGCGTCTCACTTGCTAACGTGACATGAAATACTGAAGCTTTCAAAATCAAGTACAGAGACTTTGTTGTGTTGACATGGGCAAAATGAAATGAAGAGCTGAGGCAATTATGTGGATAAATCAGGCCAAAAATATCCAACCATTGAGAGGAAAAACTTCCTTTGGCTCAAATTATTCAGAGCGACTGTCCATGTTCATTAATTTATCAGGATAATGAATTTTATCCTATACTTTACTTTGTCACTATAGATATATCTTTTGTCTATGAATTTGAATGACTTTGTGATATTTTACTTCACTGAAAATTATAATAGGAGTTGAATGAGCAAGCACTATGTTAAAAGGTTGCTACTGCAGCTATCATAATAGTCCAAGAGAGCTTAAGACCCATTATTCATAGCTAGCAGATATGGTTATTGGAATGGGGGTAGAGAGGGAGACATGAAATCTGTTGAGAATCAAATGCTTGTAACTAATCTGTCTTTCCCATTTAGCATCCTATTATCCAAAAATATCTTGGTTTGTATCTCCCGGCTGGTTTCCTGGTCATTTGACAACTGGTTAAATGAGCCTGAAAATTTCATCAGGTTTCATATAAAGAATAATATATTATAGTTATATACATATAAATGTATATCTTTGTGTATTTTTAATATCCCTTATTTATCTACAAAGAGATGAATGTTTGAAATATGTGACGGATAAGCAAGGTCAATTCTTGTGTCTGCTCATGCATTGGCATTGAACTTTCTGCTTGGAGTCCTTAGCATATTCTACACTTGAGCCATTCTTCTTGTTTCTTCATGCTTCCAGAGCCACTAGAATCACAGGCAAAAGAGCAGGAGCTTCTCCCTGGGGCAAAGGGAGAACCTCTGAGCACCTAGCTACATTACCCTGGGTGGTCTGGTCCTGCCAGAGGCTCTTAAACATTAGAGACAACTCACCATTTGGAGGTTACAAATCATGAAAGTGCTCACTGAAGCAAATGATACCACATAAGAAATAAATGCCTAATGTTGATGAACATTTTAATCTTTATTATAAAATTATAACATAAAGAAGAATCCTGAAGAATGACCATAAGGCTTTTGTCACAATAGCACTGTAATGGAAATGTAGGTGTGTTTTCTTTTCTTTCTTTTTTCCTTTTTTTGAGACGGGGTCTTGCTTTGTCACCCAGGGTGGCGTGCAATGGAGCTATCATGGCTCACTGAAGCCTCGACCTCCTGGGCTCAAGCAATCCTCCCACCTCAGCCTATTGGGCGGCTGGGAGGCACGCATAACCACATCCAGCTAATTTTTTGTAGAAATGGGGTTTCTCCATGTATTGCCCAGGCTGGTCTCAAACTCCTCGGCTCAAGTGATTCTCCCACCTTAGCCTCCCAAAGTGCTGGGATTATAAGCATGAGCCACCACGCCTGGCCTACGTGTGTGTTTTATGATTAAACAAGAAATACATACAATTATCAGGACAGAACAAAATAAAGAGAAAAATACAAATTACCTGTAATTCAACTATCCACAGATAATTATTTTTTATGGACTGAATAGTGTTCTCCAAAATTCATATGTTGAAGCCCTAGCCCCTAATATTATTAATATGGTTTGGCTGGGTCCCCACCCAAATCTCATATTGAATTGTAACTCCCACAATTCCCATGTGTCATGGGAGGAAACTAATGGGAGGTACTTGAATCATGGGGGCAGGTCTTTCCCATGCTGTTCTTGTGATAGTGAATAAGTCTCACGAGATCTGATGGCTTTAAAAATGAGAGTTTTCCTGTATAAGCTCTCTCTCTCTTTGCCTGCTACCATCCATGTAAGACATGACTTTTTCCTCCTTGCCTTCCACGATGATTGTGAGACCTCCCCAGCCATGTGGAACTGTAAGTCCATTAAATGTCTTTCTTTTGTAAATTGCCCAGTCTCAGGTATGTCTGTATCAGCAGCGTGAAAATGAATTAACACAGTAAATTGGTACCAGTAGAGTGGGGTGCTGCTGTAGATACCCAAAAATGTGAAAACTACTTTGGAACTGGGCAACAGACAGGGGTGGAACAGTTTGGAGGGCTCAGAAGAAGACAGGAAAATGTGGGAAAGTTTGGAACTTCCCAGAGACTTGTTGAATGACTTTGCCCAAAATGCTGATAGCGATATGGACCACGAAGTCCAGCTTGAGATGGCTTCAGATGGAGATGAGGAACTTATTGGGAACTGGAGCAAAGGTGATTCTTGTTATGTTTTAGCAGCATTTTGCCCCCATCCTAGAGATTTGTAGAACTTTGAACTTGAGAGAGATAATTTAGGGTATCTGGAAGAAGAAATTTCTAAGTAGCAAGGCATTCTAGAGGTGACTTGGGTCACCACTTGGGTGCTGTTAAAGGCATTCAGTTTTAAAAGGGAAGGGGAGAATAAAAGTTCAGAAAACTTGCAACCTGACAATGTGATAGAAAAGAAAATCCCATTTTCTGAGGAGAAATTCAAGCTGGCTGCAGAAATTTGCATAAGTAATGAGGAGCCGAATGTTAATCCCCAAGACAAAGGGGAAAATGTCTCCAGGGTATGTCAGAAGTCTTCACAGCAGTCCCTCTCATCACAGACCCAGAGGCTGAGGAGGAAAAAGTGGTTTTGTGGGCCAGGCCCAGGGTGCCTCGCTGTATGCAGTCTAGGGACTTGGTGTCCTGCATCCCAGTTGCTCCAGCCAGGACTAAATGGGGCCAAGGTACGGCACAGACTGTTACTTCAGAGGGTACAAGCCCCCAGCCTTGGCAGCTTCCATGTGGTGTTGAGCTTGCTGGTGCATAGAAGTCAAGAATTGAAGTTTGGGAACCTCCACTTAGATTTCAGAGGATGTATGGAAATGCCTGGATGCCCAGGCAGAAGTTTGCTGCAGGGGCAGGGCCCTCGTGGAGAACCCCTATGAAGGCAATGCAAAAGGGAAATGTGGAGTTGGAGTCCCCACACAGAGTCTCTACTGAGACACCACCTAGTGGAGGGCCATCACTGTCCTCCAGAACCCAGAATTTTAGATCCACCAACAGCTTACACCGTTTGCCCAGAAAAGCCACAGACACTCTATGCTAGCCTGTAAAAGCAGCTGGGAGGGAGTCTGTACCCTTCAAAGCCTGGATGCGAGACATAGAGTTAAAGGAGATCATTTTGGTGCTTTAAGATTTGACTGCCCCACAGGATTTCAGACTTGCATGGGGCTTGTAGCCCCTTTGTTTTAGCCAATTTCTCCCATTTGGAATGGCTGTATTTACCCAATGCCTGTACTCCCATTGTATCTAGGAAGTAACTAATTTGCTTTTGATTTTACAGACTCATAGACTGAAGGGACTTGCTTTGTCTGAGATGGTGGACTTTTGAGTTAATGCTGAAATGAGTTATGACTTTGGGGGAATGTTGGAAAGGCATGATTGGATTTGAAATGTGAGGACATGAAATTTGGAAGGGGCCAGGGGTGGAATGATATGGTTTGGCTGTGTCCCCACCCAAATCTTATCTCTAATTGTAACTTCCACAACTCCCATGTATCATGGGAGGAAACAGTGGGAGGTAATTGAATCACAGGCGTGGGTCTTTCCCATATTGTTCTTGTGATAGTGAATAAGTCTCATGAGCTCTGAAGGCTCTAAAAATGAGAGTTTCCCTGCACAAGCTTTCTCTCTCTTTGCTTGCTGCCATCCACGTAAGACATGATTTGCTCCTCTTTGTCTTCCAACATGATTGTGAGGCTCCCTAGCCATGTGGAACTGAAAGTCCAATTAAACCTCTTTCTTTTGTAAATTGCCTAAATGGGTATGTCTTTATCAGCAGCATGAAAATGGACTAATACAGTGATAGTATTTGAAAAGGGGCCTTTGGGAGGTAAACAAGGTTAAACAAGGTCATAAGGACCCTAATCCAATAGGATTTGTGCCCTTATGAAAACAGGGAGAGACAAACCAGAGCTCATTGGCTATCTCTTCCATGTGGGGACACACAAAGAAGGTGGCCATCTACAAGACAGAAAGGTGATCATGCTGGCACCTTGACCTTGAACTTCTAGCCTTTGGAACTGTGAAAATAAATTTCTGTTTTTTAAGCTACCCAGTCTATGGCATTTTGTTATGGTAGTCCAAACAGACTAACACACCACTGTTAATATTTTTACATCCTTTTATATTTTAATATTATTCTATACTAAAATATACATCCATCCATCAACACATCCATCCTTATGAACATATAAAGATGGCATTATACCCAATGGTTTACATCAGCACTGTATGATAGAAATATATTGTGAATTACATACATTAATCACATACATTTACAATTTTTTTAGTGGCCACATTGAAAAGAGAAAAAATGAAAACATGAAATTAATTGTA